CAGCCTCGGCGATGCCCATGCTCTCTCAGAACAGCCGGAGGATATAACTGAGGCTACCGTGACAGGACCTGCAGTCTTCCTCCACATCCCAGGACCCAGAACAGGGACAGTGAGGACCTGGAGAGGACGCATACTCGGCCTGGGCAAGGCTGTCCTTGGACATCTGCTCTGTGTGCATGGTAGTCCAAGCCACCCGTAACCCTGGCACCTCCGGCAGCTTCCCAGTCAGCTGACAAGTGTTACAGGCCACTCAAGACAGGAGGACTGAATATTGCTGGGCTAGGTATCAACCTTCGAATCCACAAGGCTGGCCAGAGGCTGCTGCTTCTCCGTGGCTGTAGCCAAGATGGGCTCACCATGTGTGGGCATGTGGGTGGAGCTCACTTGCTCAGATCATGCCCCAGAGGGTATGGGGCGACATGTGGTCGTTCTGACCCTGGCCTTGTGCAGCGGCTGCTGGGTGACGGTCTACCTGTCTAACTAGATGTCTCCGCAGGCTCTGCCTGGCCTCTCCTTCTGATGGGACCTGTGAGGGCAGAGGTTGCCTGGCCACATGCATTAGGAAAGAGGTGAGCCAATGCCTTATGGTGGGGCACCCACAGGACAGGCTCAGTAACATGTCAAGGGGTGGGTTAGGACCTGCAGGCTGATTTAGGGGCCCCCTCCCCCACTGCAAAATGCAGCCCAGCGAGACGAGCTGTTAAGTTGGTCTGTCAGCCATTTCAAGGAGCCTGGTGGAGCAGTAGTTAAGTGTTTGACTGCTAACTAAAAGTTTGTTGGTTTGAACCTACCCAGGGGCGCCAACCTAGGGAATCTGTGAGGCAGTTCCACTCTGTCATGTTCGCCAGTTACACAAAGGACCAGTTAGTGTTGTGGGATTACTAATTTAGGATCTTGTTTTGGCTGGTGAATTGGAACTGGATTTTACTAGTGTCTTTCTTTTTGAAAAATTCTTGATAAGATGAAGAAAAGGAAAAACCTCTAGACATTGCAGGTTCAAGGGGGCCTGGGATATACAAGGGCAGTGATAGCTCCCCAGGGGAAGAATGGCCTGGTCGGGGGAGGGGAGCATGGGAGGCCGCAGGGCAGGGCAGGGCAGGAGCAGGGGAGCGGGAGAGGATCCTCTGAATAGTGTGAGGAAACCACAGAGGAATGGCATTCCTAGTTACTGCTGCTAGGTGCTGTCGAGTGTAATTTATAGTGGCCCTGTGAACAACAGATCCTCACCGTGTTCTAGCCTGCACCATCCTCAAAATCTCTGATAGACTCAAGCCCATTGCTACAGCGTCAATCCACCTGGTTGAAGGTCTTCCTCTCCCGTGGCATCCCTCCACCTTTCCAAGCATGATATCCCTCTCCAAGGAGTAAGGACTCTCAGAAAAACCTCCCTCAGAACCGACCCACAGCTGACTCTCCAGCAGGTTTTCAGAGAAAGTAAATCACACCAGAAGAGACTGCCCTTCTCTCTCCCAGAGCAGCTAGTAGATTTGAATTGCCTGCCTTTGGGTTGACAGTGCAAACCCTTAGTATAGGCCACCAGCACTTCCCCCAGCCTGCAGAGGTGTTCCCCAGGCTGTAACCCACACGCACCGCAGCCCTCTCGCGGGTCCTGCCTCAGAGCAGCTGTCACTGTGGGCTCTCCCTGCCTGTACACTTCCCTGAAGCGCCTGCCTCATCGTCACAAGGAGAGGAGCTGGGTGTGAACCATTAACCATGTGCTTGACCACTAGGTTCCCTTCTTCAACCCTCCGACTCAAAACTCAGTACCAGCGAGCTGAGCCATGGCACCGTTGAGACTCTCCCTCGGTTCTGAGGCTGTGCACCCCAGGGGAGACCACCCTCTTTTCTGCACAGGGCCGCTGGTGGATTTGAACCTCTGACACCTGGTTAGCAGAGTAGTATCCTGCATGTACTACCCTTCTGGAGCCTTCTCTTCCTCAGCTCTGGGGACATGAACTTGGAGCTGGTTTTGCATTCACTCTTGGCCTTCGGCTCCTGGAGTCCCAAAGGTTAGCTGCTAAAAAAGGGGTTTCCCCACACAAATAGCCCTAAGTCCATGGTCAACTTTTCCCGAAACAGAAGCAGTCCCTTGCTTCTTAGCTTGTTCTTACAATATAGAGCACCTGCCTCAAGCTCATTCGCACTGATCTGCACTGGGACGTGGCACAAGCAGACGGTGTGGGGCCCGAGTGAGGCAGCAAACGGGTGGAGGGGCTTGGCCCTTACGTCATGGGATATGGGTGGAGGGGCTTGGCCCTTACGTCATGCGATACGGATTGAGAGGGGAGTGGATGCAGCAGCTCCCATTTCTCCACATGAATGATTTACTTAGAATGTTCTGGATGTGGCCTTCTTGGGCACACTCAGGAATGTCATGCCCAGCGCCTCAAAAAGAAGCCTCTCAGGCCGGCACTTGGCTTCACTGGTCTGACCGCTTCTTGACCACCCCTGTTCCCTTGCCCTGTGACCGCTGCAGGCCCCTGCCTCTCTGACTGGGGTGGAGGGGGCCTCTAGGGTTTCCACTTTGCACCTTTTGGGAACAAAAGGAGGTGAGAAGAGAGAGAAGAGGTGGGCTGGTGGCATTTCCGTACCAGGGGCTGTTCCTGATGGACTGATTCTCAAGCAATCATTCTGGAAACAAGAGGAAAGAGCTGGGCATGAGAGCTGAAAGCTGTCACAGGCAATGAAGGGACAACGCGTTCCAGTATGCCCCATGTCCATTAAATGCAAGAGTAACACCTGGGGAAGGCCAAGAAAAAACACACACACACACACACACACACACACACACACACACACAGAGTCTAAACATGATGCTTCAAGCGTGGTTTTCCCACATGACAATACATATGATGCCCACTTCCCTTGGGTCCCTTCTGACTCACAGCCACCCGGCACCCGACGCTGCCAACCCCACTGGAGGAGGTGGGTTGTTTCCTCCCGTGGAGAGGCTGACAGATTTGAACCACTGACCTTTGGTAAACAGTGCAATATGTAAAGCACTCTGCCCCCAGACTCCCTGATATAGTACATAAGAGGACCTACCAGTGGTGGTTTTCTTGGGACAAAGAGGCCTGTTCGCAATATGTCCTCTGTAACCATTGTCTTATTTTGATAGTTGGTCCTCATAAACATTGTCCTTTTTACTGTATTTTATAGAAGAATGATCTAGACTTCTTTAAAGGTATTTTTGATCACCCCTGAGCTTCCTTCCCCTTCTGTTCTGCTCTAACCTGTGGGCACTGCAGGTCCAGTGTCACCCTTGGGACAGACCAAGAAGGTGCCATGAGTCAAACCAGGAAACCAACAGTTGCCACATCATTGAGAAAGGCCACCAAGAAACAGCAACCATGCCTTTTCTATTTCATCTTATTTCTTTCTAGGAAGAAAAGCAAAAAAAGATTACATTTGCTTCCTCAAAATGCTGGAATCTAGACTTTTTTAAAAAGTCCTTATTAAGTATAAGAAAGTAGAAATGTAAGGGACATAGTGGAATGGCTTTGTGTACTTGTTAACTTTTTTAAAAAGAAATAAATAGTCCTTTGGATGGCCCATGAGGAAGTGTGGTGCCCATGTGGTCACAAAGGCTATTGTTTTCAGGCAAAACCAACAGGCTAGTAGTCATTGGAGTAAGAGGTTGAGATTTCTGGTTAAACTGTAGGATTTGTTTGACAAGATGGATCTGTTCTCTGAAAAACAACAGCCCAGGTTTGGGATGAACCAGCAGCTCTGAAGTGTCTGCTGTAGAAATGAGCCCCCTCCTGTGGGTCCCCTCCTCACAGGGCCCCTCCTCTGCACTGTGGAGGCTGTGCCTCTGGAAGGGAGAACACGGCCCTTCTTTCTCCCATGGACAGCCTGTGGATTCAAACCACCAACCACATGGTTGATAACAGGTCATGCGCTCCACTATCAGGGCTCCATGTCTGCACAGAGGACCCTCCTTCACGGCCGTGCTTCCTGACTGAACCCAGGGCCATCTTCCCGCAGGATTCCAAAGCAATTGCAGCAGCAACAGCATAATATGTTGGCTTTATTGAGATGTGTCCATCGAGAGGGCACTGCTTGCTAGGGTTTTGTCACAAGGGGATTGAAAATCAAGACTTAAAGCAAAATAACAGCTTGATTGTGCGCTCCCTTAGAGGTACCCCGTCTACAGAGGACACAGCAAACCACATCACATGTGGCTGTGACTCCAGGGAGGTGCTCTCACACCAGGTGGGGACCGGAGTGTGGCAGGCAGGACAGGGGATCCTGTAACAGCAAAGGTGTAACTGCAAGTCACAGATGGGGAACAGGCCTATGGCTGCGTGTGTGGAGCATCACTCTGCTGTAGGATCCAGTGATGAGAGCGCTTTGGTCCCCGCAGGAAGCCACTGTCCACAGTGCTTCACACGTCTCTCCATTTATGTGCTTCACATCTGCTAAACACCCACTTCCCATGACTGCTGGGTCCATGGGGCTCTCAGAGGGGCAGTGTGGGCTGAAGTCTCTCTGAATACTGGCAAACAGGGTCTTGGTGCCCAACTTTCCTCTTTCAAATGGATAGGGCACCAAACAAAACATCATGTGACCATGCACTGGTCAGTACAGCTGCCTGTAGGGGTGACTGTATGCAAAGGAGAGGAAGGAGGGGCCGTATGTAAGTTTATCTGCTTTCCCAAGAAAAATATCCACCTTTCTAAGGGCTCTTAAAAATGTAGAAAACTTGCCCTGTTACCACAGGTTTGCAGAATACCTCTAAACACACACAAAAGAAGACAGAACCTACAAATTTCAACCATAGCTTAAACTCTAAAAGCATTTTTGTATTATTTTGCTTTGATACTGAAGGGGAAACTCAGCTATAAAGAAACATTAAAAAGTATTTTTTTCTTTTTGTGGTGATGAGTCTTAAGAACTCTCTGTAGCTGCCTCCCCAGCTTGTGCTGCTATTTTCTGGGTGTGCTCAAGAATGTGAGGCAGGTCCGTCCGTCCCCCCAGCCCGCAGACAGACGCGCGCCTCAGATAAGCCATTCCCTCTTGCTCTCATCAATGGTCTCTGTGAAGTTGGGGTCGTTGTTCATGATGGCAGCATCTGCGCTCTCTGCTGACTCTGCCCCCTTGGCCTCATTGGTGTGGTAGGTGCCCTTGTGACGGAACATGTACCGGATGAGGAAGACCAAGGTGCAGAGAATGGTGAAGATCACCACTGCAATGACACCTGGTGGGAGAGAAAGGCGAGAGGTTAAATGTGTCTTATGTATCCCCATGTGTCCTCTATTTCACCATGTCACCAAACTATAACTCCTACCACCATCACCATGCCATCATTATCACCACCACCACCAACATCCCCACCATCAACATGCCATCATTATCACTACCACCATCACCACCACCATCAACAGGTCCATCATTATCACCACCACCACCATCATCACCATCAACAGGTCCATCATTATCACCACCACCACCAACATCCCCACTATCAACATGCCATCACCACCACCACCATCACCATGCCATCATTATCGCCACCATCACCATCACCAGGTCCATCATTATCACCACCACCACCATGCTATCATTATCACCACCACCATCATCACCATCACCATCAACAGGTCCATCATTATCACCACCAACGTCGCCACCACCACCACCATCCCCACTATCAACATGCCATCATTATCACCACCACCATCAACAGGTCCATCATTATCACCATCACCACCACCACCATCAACATGCCATCATTGTCACCACCACCACCATTATCAGCACCGTCATCACCATCACGATCAACATAACTATCATTATCACGACCACCATTACTACCAGCAACAGCATCACCATCACCACCACCACCACCACCACCACCAATATCATTACCATCACCAGCACCACCACTATCAGAACCACCATACCAGCATCATAATCATCAATATCAGCATGACCATGACCCACACTGCCACCACCAGCATGGCCATGACCACCACAGCCATTACCAGCACCATTACCATCAGTACTACTATCATCACTGACCACCACTACCACCCCTCGTACCCCCTCCGGGATGACTATGACCATCACCACCACCATCACCATGACCATGGCCACAACCACCTTTACCAGTACCACCATCACCATCAGCACCAGCATCACTACCAAAGAAGACTTCTGGCCATGGAGGTGTGAAAGAAACACCAGGAGCCCCTTATCTTCTAGGCATAAGTACCTCAAATATCAGACACTATTCATAAGAGGGGAGTGGGGAGCACACTGAGTGAGTAATCCATGTATTCTAGTGGTTTTCACCTGGAGGCAGTTTCTGGACAGCACATGGGAAGGGACATGGTAATAGATGGTAGCCTCCTTGCCTGAACTGAGGAGCCAGAGAGGCGACATGCAGAAACAGTTACGCACAAATCTGCAGAGTCTCTGTAGACTGGTGGCTACATGGCACCATGTGTACAAGGTGACGCTCCATAAGGCTAGGGAGGGGTAACACCCCAGGAGCCATAGTCAGAACCGGTTTCTGAGCTCTCACAGGATTGGGAGGGGTCTGAGTCTCCACCAACCACCTCAAATGACCAACCTCACAGAAACAGCCGGGTCTTCAGTTCAGACCACACAAGGGTCATGCTTCAGATGCTTGGCTAAAATACCCCAGATCAATGGCTTCTTTAAGATTTGTCCTGAAAGACTTTCAACCAAAACTCTGAAATACCAAGCTGATCTGCAAGCAACAAACATGTCTTAGAGAAAGTGCAGCAAGCATGCTCCTTAGGAGGGAGGGTGGTGAGACTTTGTCTCATTTACTTTACGTTGTCTGGAGGGCTGGTTCTTGGAAAAGACGTCATGCAGGGCCAGCTGAGAGAGGAAGACCCTCTATGACAGCAGCTGATGCAATGGCTATAACAACAGCCTGACCCAGCAGAGACCACAAGGATGGAACAGGATGAGGCGGGGCTTTAGTGGACATGTGGTCAGTGTGAGTGGAATGGGCACAATAGCACTAACAAGCACATTCTGGAGGTGAGAGGACCCAATATGGGACAGGAGAATGTCCTGCTGGTTGCACGTCCAGGCCCGTTCCAGCCATTGGTCAGCACCAGGCAGGACGTTTGTCACATCCATACTTTATAACCTCATTTCACTTGAAGTGTAAAGTTAAGGAGACATCTTGGCTCCTCTCACAGCCGCATGGCTATGCCATGGGCCCACACTGGTCTGTCAGTCATCCTGTGGCTGGCTGTGTGGAGCTGTGATGCTGCAAACTATGCGACTGGCATTTCCAGTAGCAGCAGGCTCACTGATGGGGCCAGATTTCAGCAGACTTAGACTAGGGAGAAAGGTTGGCAATTATGTCCGAAACTCCAGCCAATGAAAACTTTATGGATCACAACAGGACACTGTCGGATAGTGCTGGAAGCTGGGGCCCTATGCTGGAAGGCACTCAGGCAGGACCAGCCGACCACTCATTCTGTTGTACGTGAATGTGGCAGCCATGGCCGCAGCTATTTTCACTGCTGCTAGCTGCACGTCATGCTACACTTACCACCTACCTCCAATGATTGCAGAGTTTCTGTTGACACCATTCCGGATAGCCTGGCCCTGTCCTGGGTTGTATGGGAAATCAGCACTGGCTGTTGAGAGAAAAACCAAAAGGCCAGGTCACTGTCACGTTTACCAGCAGCCCCAGGTGCTCTGTCATTTCTGCACGTGACGCAGTCCTTCTTGCCACCACCTTCCCAGCAGAGCCTCCGTTGCTGATAGATCCCTTCCTTGTCTACCATTGGACCATAAGGGCCCCGCTTCTGCTCCCGTGCCCTTGCACCAGGTCCACACACCACTCGGCCTTCGGAGAAGAACAGATCTTTTAGCTTCCTGAATCCCTGACCCCATCCCTGACTAAACAGTGTGTGTCGGGAACAGCACCTTTTCTGTGTTTGCAGCAATCTCTCCCACCTTCCCACTCATAATCGGTGGTTACTACAATTAAAAAAAACAAAACAGAAAAAACTTTAAAGCGGTGGCTATAATGATGCTATTGCATGCCCAGCAGACTACGGCAGAGGGCAACCATAATTTTCTGTGCCCTGGGAAACAAAGATTCCTGTCACTCACTTTACTGTTTGTTGTTTGAGGTGGTCTGGAGCTGAACCTGCAGGCTCGCCGAAGCAGCCTTCATTTGTAGGTGAGCTTCTCATAGTTCACACCATTTGTTTTAGAAAAATCTTTCTAAATTAATATTTGATATGCTTCCAATGTTGTTGTTGTTGATTGCCATTAAGTCAAGCACAACCCATAGCAACTCTTGTTAAAGACCTGAAGCCTTTCTATAACTATTGTCATTTTTCAAAGTTCATACAGTTTCCAGAGGCATGTTGTTTAGGAAGTGAATGCCACTCCTGCTTCCAAAGGCTTCCAATAGAATACTGTAAATTTCAGGAATGCATGAGGGAGTAATAGTTCATAAAAGCTGAGACTATCAACTGCCTAAAAATTTCTGTCTGGAAAGATCTGATTCCAGCCATGATTCTTTTTTTTTTCTATAATTATATTTTATTAATTTTCATAAACATTTACAGAGATTTTGGGCTTCCACTCATTCATTGTTGCACTATTCTCTCTACCCTCCTCCCAGTTTGTTCTTGTCCAAATGCCACAGTGCTTGTCAAAGCCAGTTCTGATTAATCTTCTTTGTCAGTGTATCCTTTGCCATTCCCTATCACTCGTCCCTGAGAGAGACTTCACCCTGAGTCATAAGGAAAAGGGGATGGCGTATTCTCTTAGCTACTTCCTGCTGAAAAGGGACGCTGTGGGTTTCAGGGAGAAGATCTTCTCTCACTACTCTAAAGGGCCCCTTTGGCAGTGGGAAACACATAGACTATTATGGAGATTGATTTTGGAATTCAGATGCACTCTTATTGATTGTGCTTGGCTGTACATGTACATATCCTTCAAGATGTATCATGGGGGTGTTGCAACCTAGAAGACACAAATTTGACTAACAAGTTATAAGTACATGAGTCCAAAAATTATGGAAAAGTAAAAGAAAAGATTCTTTCATTGTTTTACAAACCCTCCCCCAGGTCCCCTCCACCATGCAGCCCTCGCTCTAGTCTCCTGTGATGACAGAAATACCCAGTTATATCTCTCTTTTAGATGGTTCTCTCCCTCCTCTGTTTCAGTGCAGTATACATTATTGAACCCATCTTACTCAGTCTCTCCCCAACCCCAAGGACAGTCCCATTCTACAACAGTGCATCTGAAATTGGATGATGAACAAGGAGATGAGAAACAGAAGAACTGATGCCTTTGAGTTGCTGGAGAAGAACACTGACTAGCCCACATCTGACAAAAGAACAGACAAATCTATCTTGGAGGAAGAGTAACCAGAGGTGCTCCTGAGGCAAAGATGATGAAACTTTTCCTCACACATTTTGAGCATGTTGTCAGAAGGGGCCAGTAATTGGGATAAAGACATCATGTTGGGAAAGGTGGGCCAGAGAGAAAGAGAGGCCCTCCACGAGGTGGACCGACACAGTGAAAGAGAGGCCCTCCACGAGGTGGACCGACACAGTGAAAGAGAGGCCCTCCACGAGGTGGACCGATACAGTGACTAACAATGGGCTCAAACATGTCGGAGGTGGTGAGGATGGTGCAGGACAGGAAAAGGCCCAGATGTGTTGCTCTCAGGGTCACTATGAGTTGTAGGCAACTTGATGACATCTAACAATAACAACAACAAAATCTCCACTTACTTATTGGTTATATAAAAGTAAGAATTGGCCACATTGCATGTGAGGATAATCTGTAGAACAAGAAACCAAGTCACACCAATATGACCTCCGAAGAACTAAACATGGCCTTGAACCTGACCTAAGCATCCAGCCTTCAGAACTGTGAGGCTGCCCTTTAAAGCCCCACTTGCGGAGTTTCTGCTATAGCAGCCCTAGGTGACTAAGACGGGGATGGTATCAGCTGTGGTCCATCAGGTGGTCGGCTGTGGCGAACTCCAGGTGATTACTCGTAGTGGAGTACTAAATATTTCTCAAACTCAACTCACTGTCTTTGAATCAGAAGTGGTTTTCTGAGGCTATCAGTTGCATAGGATAAGACTGTCCACATTACTCCCTTTTAGCCACTAGTGGATTCAAATCCCCAGACAGGACCTACATTGGGTTAGCAGCACATCCTGCTTCCGATCTCGCCACTAGAGCTTCACACTGGTTATCTGTGGCAGTTACCTGGAAGACCTTCCATCTGTCATAGAGCACCACTATAAATAGTGTGAAATAGAGATTTGTATGAGAAGTGGTACAGGAAAACCGTTAGCACGAGTCACACTCAATTCAATGATGCCTAACAACAACAACAACCACCACAACAACAACAACAAAGAAGCAGCTATGCTGCAATCACAAAGGCATGTGGTTTGAATTTCCCAGGTGGTCCAAGAGAGAAGGATGGGAGATTTCCTCCTGTGTGATTTACTGCCTCTGAAAACCTGCTGGAGGGTCAGCTGCGGGTCGGTTCTGACTTGGCTGCAGACCTTGTCAGGAATCGCTCGTCTAATGCTGCGTCGACCTTGTGAGGTGGGACATTTTGCCATGGTAGACAAGCCAAAACTGAGGTCATGCGACCACTAGGTGGTAAAACCAGGATTTGAGCCCAGGTGGCGGCTCCAGAAGCCACTCCCGAATCGCTCAGAATGTCTCCCAGGCTGCCTTCCACTGCCCGCTCTGTGGTGACTCAGCACAGCCTTCATGGCGCCGTCTCACCGTCAGCAGCATTGCCTGGGCTGAGGCAGCTGGCCAGGCGACTCCCCTGGTTTCTCAGTGGTTTCTGGCTGGGGAGGCGGATGCTAGCTACAGGCTCTGACTGCACTTATCTGGCCTCCTCAGGTGAGGGAGAAGGCACCTTCACTCAGTAGGAAACATCTACGCGTGTGCTAGCAGCATCAGAGCAGTGCGCTGGACCATCTCAGGAAGGGTGGAGACCGGGCCACTCTCCACAACACAGAAAGGACGGAGCTGGTCCTCCCATCAAACAAGAAAGGACAGAGCCAGTCCTCCCACCAAACACAGAAAGTGCAGAGTCGGTCCTCCCTCCAAACACAAGGAGCCCGGGTGGGTCAGGACACCCCTGTGCGCTCGCTCAGTGCTCACAGACATGCTTCTGCAATGCAGGCTCATCTCTGACACCTGACTCAAGGCTGTCTCACCCAAATGGAGGGGCTGCTGAACACTGGGAAGGACAGGCCTTTCTTCCTCACCCGTCTTAGTCAGGGAGCTCCGTTGAAACCTGACAGAGGGGTGGTGACTGAGTGTGAGGTGCACTGGCCAGGAACTGACCCTGGGTCTCCTGGGTGGAAGGTGAGAATTGCCTTATGGGCCATGCTGCGTCCACAGGCTGCAATTGGGGTTGGAAGAAGCCACAGTGTCACCTTGGGTTCAGCACTCCACACCACCGAAAAGAACCAGTGCTCAGCTCTGCGCCCCCTCACCCTCACGTAGGACGTGAAAAGAAGACAGAAGCCCTAAGGCGATCAAGTGTATGATGTCAACATACTTGAAGAACAGAAGGGGAAAGAGGCTTTTAAACAACAGAAAGTCTGAACCCCAAAGCAAACCAAGGACTTTGGTCAATAACAATGCAGGGCCACTGAGGCAGTGACTAACAAGAATGCCCAGAGGCAGCATGGTCCTGGTGACATCAGGGGACTCACTGCGTTCAGCACCATTTCTGTAAATCTAACCCTGCCATGAAAAATGGAATCTGAATTCTTTGGTGTCAAATTTCTTGTTTGCCCCTTTGAGCAGATGAAAAAGAGATGGATTAAAGCTTGGAGTTTTTGTAATTGTTTTTAGTAATCACAGAAGATAAATGAAAGTGATTGTGATATGCATTTAAGTTTTAAAATATGTAAAATTAGTCTTTAGCCTCAGAAACCAATTAAAAGTAAGACACAAATTTAAATGCATATGAAAATAAACCAAGATCATCTAGCATAAAACCCAGAGATATGAAAGGTACCGAGTGCTTGAGGTTGCCATGTATCAGCGTGAAAAAGGCACCGGACACCGGACGGGACCTGACAGCTCCTAGAGGCAGTGTCTCCATGGAAACCACTTAAGCTTCAGCATCTGAAGTGATAATTTGAGGCACTTGAACAAAACTGCTGCTATTAAAAAAAACAAAAAACCAACAAAACCAAAACAAAAAACCTGCTGCTATTAATTGTGGCTTAATTGAAATGGCAACATTAATTTGCAGGTTCCAGGCCAGACACTGTAATAATAAGACACTGTAATAATAAGTCCTTGTTCCTCCCAGCTTCTCTGTTCCATTTCACTTTATTCTGCTTCCCCAGATCTGAGCTATGTGGTGGGGGGAAAATTGCTTTAGGCATTGGCCTTTGACTGATATTTCATGAGTGATGTGCAAATGCTTGTCCACGAAGGTGCTGACCCTGTTTGGCTTCAAATGAGGGCACACTGGCCACTTGCTCAGAGAGGAGGGATCCTCCAGGCCACCAGGTAGTCACAGGCAGGGCAGTGGTCAGTTACATGTCCTTTATCTCTTACTATGCCCACCATGTCCCCCACATTTCCTAAGGAAGGACAGGTGTCCAGAATAT